TGAGTATCATACATAATTATATAAGTTTCCAGTACAGTTAGTCATATTTGCAACAAAGGTAAAATTTATTATGTCATTAAAAAAAAAAGTATATATTGTTATTGAATGCAGATACTGGACTGTTAACATTTGAGCGAATAATAAACATTGTAATGTGTTAGAAGATCTTTTTTTATATCCTCTAAATGGGTTTAGGCTGTGTTTTATCAATCCATTTTCCCTCTCATAGACTTTGGACTGTCAAGAGTTAATAGACTGAAAACAAAAAAATTAAATAGGTGTTAAAATTACTAAAAAGTTAATTTTCAAATATGTAATCATAATGTTTTGTTTGACAAAAATTTGTCAATTTTAAGATGCATATTTGATACACTAGCCTCTAGGTATATCTAATAACTAACATTAACGCTATAACAAGTTTGAGCATAACTGATATTTGTGTAATTATTATTAAGTTTAGGTTGGTATAATATAATATGTTATAATATTTTATCTAAATCTTTGCAATTTCATATTTTATATTGTACTATACATTCATACTCACTCAAACAGAGTATAAAGAACTTGCCCAAACACATTGTTTTTATTAGGTGGTTAAAAATGATAATTTGCTCAAATGCATGATGCTCGCAGATACCATTCTCAATACTAATATTAATTTATGGTAGATAGCACACCACACATGTGCCTAATTTTCATTAACTATTACAATGTTATAATTATATTAAATTTTATTATAGATGTTTGATCAGGATATTGCACCATTAAAGAGAACACTAAGCTTAAGTTCATCAAAATTCAATCAAATTTCAAAACTGGCTAAACAAATTAAAGTGAGGCCATTTAATGCTCGTAAGAAATTTTTATATGCTATCCTTGTAGTGCGTGTAATGATAAGGTTATTACACTTACTACCCTGTACAACTGGTACAATTTCTATAAAATTGGTTAAACAAGATCCTTACAGGCATAAAATTTTGAGAAAAGTAAGTAAAAGCTGGTTTTAAATTGTTCAAAAATAATGTTTAATAATTTWAAAAAATTATAGCTTACTGATGCAATGGCATTTAGAGTCTATGGTCACTGGATTAAAAAAGGAGAAGGGCAAAATAGGGCTGCTCTTTTTGAAAACATACATAAGACTGAATTAAAAGTAATTTACATGAGTAATTTATCACCACCAATATAGATATTTTAGTAATGTAATTATAATATTTAAGATAGTCATTATAGAGGCTGTGTTGTTAAACTATATTATTAACATAATCATTTAAGCATTATTTAAATTAATGTCTTCCGTTGTGAACTTTTTATAAGTTTTGTTGTGTTATTGATGTTTAACATTATATATTTATAATTAAGTACTAGTTATTAATTCTAGTATAATTGTTATTAGTTGGTTGAATAATGATATAATTAAAATTTGAAATTGTTTTCAAACTAAGTTTTTTTTTATAAAATTAGCAGTAATATAATTAAAAAAAATTGCGATTAAATAGTCTTATATTAACGTTTTAAATAAATGTAATATTGATTGTGGTTAGGACGCTAGGTCATTTCCTTACTGCGTAGCTTCATTGTTTACCAGTTAATATTAATATAGTTATACAATAAGTAAATTCAGTTCAATTTTGTGTTGTCATTAGTTTTTAATAAACATTTTACAACAAATGTACAATAAGTATTTTTAATATTTAAATTAGTAGTTGCACWTAAAACAAATTGTTTCTTTATCATGGATTTAAAACTTTTTATAGGAGTATAGTTTATTTTACAATAAATAAATTATAGTTTTATTGATTATTAAGAAAAATCAACTATATTAGTAAGGACACTTTATTAGAACTTTGTATAAAAATTAAGTTCTACCTAGGTAATTTAATTAATTTAAGATGATGTCAGCATAACATATTTTGGTGTYTATATTATTTTGGAAAAACTGCTTWGTATTAATTGTAATTTTCTTTAAAATTATGTATACATAACAAGGAACACAACTTAGTAAACTGATAATGAGAAAACAAAATTATATGTTGATGTATATTACACTATTGGACCATAAAGTGTAAACCTATTTTAGAGTAATAATAACAACTCTATACTAAAAAAGAAATTATTTTTTATTTATAATTTTTTTTATTAGCTTCTAGTGTTAAACTATGATAACTCAACAACAAAAAATCTTAATAATAATAACCAACATTACTAATTTATTTAACTTTTAATTATAAATCTATTTCCTTTTGTTACAATTAGATAACATATTATGTAATAGAAAATACCAGTGTAACTACTAAATATACAATTATTATATAGGTACCTTAAAATATGAATAATAATACAATATGCTAAAGATTCCTTAATATGTTGTTTATAACCAAACATGTTTGGTCCACATAGAGTCTGTTTTTGTTTCTAAAAACATTTAGATTATCTTATTTATGTTAGAAAAAGTTAAATTAATGTACTGTTTTCTTGCCCTGTGTAGACCCAGGATAACATATGTTAAAATCCATTCTATTTATTTATTATTTTTTATATTAAAYACTATAAAATATMAATTTAAACAATAACTCCAAAATGCTTTTGTTTCAATGATTGATCAATGAAAATATTTCTTAATTTCATTTTACTTATTAATCATCCGTCTCTTAATTTGAACTAAATTGTTTTCAATTGATTACATTGAAATGAATCTAAAATATTTTAAAGATTTCAACAAAAGTWAACAACATATAAAAATATGAGATACTTGTTGGTTAGATCTTATACAAATGCAATGATTTATGAGTAGGAAAGATTTGTTACATCTTCTTATCATTAAATAATGATAAGTCTATATTAGATAGAAACTAAAATCTAAATTCAAAGTTTAATTTAAATCAATTTGTAGGTATTTATAGACTTATAGTTATAAAAAATATTCAACAGGGGCTTATGCATGGTATTACAAATAATTTATTCAATCCCATTAGTTATTATAGTTATTTCTTATGYATATATATTTTGTATAACAATAGTGTATTTATGATGTTTATTTGTATGGCGTATTATATTATATTTATTTGATGATGTTGGTTTGTATTTTGATATATGGTATCAACATCATGTTTTAATGTAATTTACCAAAGTGAGAAAAAAAGTTTATTTTTAATTGAAGTATTCCCTGTATTTTACTCTCATGGTAATTGATCAACACTCATAAAATTACTTACTGATATTAAATTAATTAATTATACTCAGAAGTTGTCCATTATCATTACTTAGGTATTATAGAAAGTATTTTTTGATTGTGTTAAATTTTAATGTCATAAACAGTTAGAAAACGGTTTAAAAATTTCTGTTTTTCACYACTTAATATTAAAAACAATATATTGTTGAAGTAATTCATTTTACTTAATACTTTTCAAACTATTATAATTAAAGGGTAAGAAGTTAAACAATCATTATATTTATTATTATTTGTAATTTGTTCTTGTGATTTTCAGATTGCTTCAACAGTAATTAGTTATTGCTATTGTACACTCATACTTAACCTACCTATTTAGGCATTAAAGGTTCAGAATAGTAATCAACACTCATGGACTACAGAACACAGAAGTTGACTTGATCGTGAGAAACTGTGACTGGAAAGCGAGAAGAGTTTTTGGCCGCTGAGTAAAAAACTAGTCAACGAGTATGTATTGTATTATTGTATTGTGTGAACACTGTGAATATATAAGAAGTTGACATTTCAGTAGCCAGCTCGACGCATGATTTCATGCAATACATTTTTCTTATTTTAGCGCTCACCAGAATGGCGACACGTTACCATTATACCAATAATAGCGGGTACCTATAAAATACACGTATGTAGACGCAGCGACCGCTGAGGCGATTTCCAGTGACGGATCAAATTTTGACCGTCACGTGACAAATTTTATTTCTAACAACAGGTAGGAATAATATAAAACATATATATACATAATGTATCATCTAAATATAGATATTTTGAATCCCCCTTCCAACCAACTCACGGCCCACTCTCGCTAGAACACCGTTCCCTTGACCCAATTGCCGGTCGACGACGTACAATTCTATATATTTTATAATTTGTTTTTTTTGCAAACTTAGCTCCCTCCTCTCCCTAACCCTTGACAACCCCCTGAAATTCGAGTCCTGTGCTGACACGCACGCAGGCGGAGAACGAACCGTCCAGGTTTCGCGTAACCCGTATTTCGCTTTCTACCCCACCACCGAGCGTAATTATTATTAACACAACCGTTTTACTGTATAGTACTATTATTATTATTATTATTTGACATATAGTCACTATTCTACTACAAGTTATAACAGCACCACTACTGTTTTACTATTAAACTGTACGTTGTACGCGCGATAAATAATAATAATAATAATACTATTATTACGCAGCGCGCGCACGTTTTATTTCCCGTATTATTATTGTACCGCGCTCTCGGTACAATAAAATCGAAACGTTGCCAGTTTGACTATGACCGCATTCGTTTCGGCGAAAAAAAAAAAATAGTAGGTAGGACTCGGTGAGCGGAGTTGTACCGAGCTGGTATAGAGATGGTGGCCGCCGTGCACATAATAGTGTTTTTATTATTATTTTAGTGGCTGGTAATAACGCCGTACGATCGCCATTTTATTTCCGATCTATGTGGCGGCGGTAGTACTCGTTGAAAAAAGGGGTGATCGATGTACTCACTACTCGAATTAAATATATTTAATATTATTAGCCGTTAGTTAGTTACTGTGAAACAGACGGGCGCGAACGGTTGGCGGACGGAAGGGAGGGGGAGGAAACAACAGTGAGAAAATTTGGATTTAACTCGTAAAACATTATATAATAATAATATAGTGTAAATTATATTATTGTTGTTGTTGTTGTCGTCTTCGTGTACTCGTGTTGCACGCGTGGGCGACGTACACACCGCGCGTCACACGACCAACTCGTATGTTATTATTATACGTATATAGGTACATAATAATATTTTATATAATATTATTATTATTATTATTATAAGGCCGCCGCCGGGACGGACAACGTGCGCGCACGTAAAAAAATCCTCGCAACACGCGCGCGCGCGCGGCATATTACACA